AAATCATTATTTTAACGCGGCGCACGAACTTTTTCCTCAACCTAATAATCGTAATAATCTTGTTATTCATTTATATTCAGATTGTTTCCAAACAATTTCAAAATCTAATCTTCTAAGTCCTTCAAATCAAATCAATATATTTATTGAAACAAAATATGAAAAAAAAAGAAAATTCGAACCACAATCTTCGTTTATTGGTGATAATTTTATATGAGAATCTTTTGATGATTTACCTAATTCACATTTTGATAAATATTCATCAATTGAATCTTCTTCAAAAAAAAGACGAATGACTGAAATAAACATCTATCTACCTTTTGAAGTTAGTTTATTAGTTTTAAATGAATAAATTCTTTTATCATCATCATCATCACTTTTATTTATTTCATCTTGATTATCATTTAATTGTTTAAATTGATTTAAACTTTTATTATTATTATTATTTGATATTACTAAATTAAAGCAAAATACTTTTCTTTTTTTTTTAAATAAAACTATTTCGAGACAAACATTTTTTTATTAAATCGATCCGTAATCGAATCATCATCTGAACTTGATTGATCAGATATCGATTGAGCATCACCTATAAACAATTATATATATATACCCTATATAAATAGTTGTTAACTAACTTGTTTTGATATATTGTGATGATAGAAATGATGAAGAGGAATTAATATCAAAGGTAACATTTGAAGGTTCAGGTAAAGAACGAAAAAACCATGCAGCTGATTTTTACCATAACTAGAATAGAATAAAATAATTGATTATTAACTATTTAGATAAAATAAAAAAGTAGTAACTTGACAATTTTCACTACAAATATTACATAATGATACAATATTTTGATTAAAATGTGTTTGAATTGAACAATTATCACATACTAACTAATAATAAATAAGATTTATTTTAAAAAAAATATTTTTTTTTTCTGTATTCACATTACTTTTTGACAATTAGCACACGAAAAAAATGATCGAGATAATATTCCTCTTTCATTAGAACATAACAAACATTGAGATAAACCATTACCAGTTGCATTTTCTTTCATTTTATCAAGACGATCAATTAATTTACTTATTATTGAGAATGAAAAAAAAAAGAAAATAATAATAATAAATGAAAAACAAAAATTCTACCAAATACGTTCTTGTTCGATATATTGAATGTATTGATTACGTTTAAGAACATTTTCAATATGTTCAATTTCTTGATTAGTTAATGATTTTTGATTAAGATTATTTGATACATTAAAATTCAATTGACGATTTAATGATAAAATATTAGTATGATGTGACCAACCGAAATTTATCCTAATAAATTTATTTTATATTAAAATAATAATTCGAATGAATTAATATATACTTTGATCGAAGTTCTAGTTGACGATCACTTGGACATACAAATCGATCATTAATCATATTATTTAGATTTAAAAATATCTAAAAGAATAAATAATAAAAAATGAAATGATTTATTTCTATGAAAAAGGTAATATATTGATCATAAACATCTATTAAATATATATAGGTTGATCGAAATGATTCATTTGAATCAGAATAACAAAAAAAAAAAGTTCCATAGATTTAGTCAATTGAAAATAATATTCTTTTCAAAAATATTTTTCTTTTCTAAACATTTATTTTTACCTTAATATACGTATACATATTTACTTTTGAATCTATTCTCATATAACATCAATTATTTTTATTTCTTATTAATCTTTTTTTTTGTTTAACGATATTATCATTTTCAATCTATTTACAAATCTAATATTAATCTATTCACGATGATGACACTAATTCTATTAACATAATATATATTTGATTTATTCGATTATTAAATAAGATAGTCACATATATACAGGGTGGCCCAAAAATTACCCGACAGTCAGTCTTTAGTTTTGAATAACTTTTGATAGGAACAAAATAAAGAGTTGTGGCTTTCATCATTCGAAAGAGAGAGTATGTTATTGCATAGTTTCATGTATTATTAAATGATCTTATCTGATGATCAAATGGCGAATCTTCGAAAAACAGTAATAGTTCTATGAAGATGGCACAAAAGTTCAATTCTAAAAAAGTACTAGATCTGCGTACCTACGATCCATGCCTATGCCTATACCCAAAACTTTTATCTTGTTCCATTCAAAAGTTATAGATGCGACACTGAAACATATTCTCTTTCGAACGATGAAAGCCACAGCTCTCTATTTTGTTCCTATCAAAAATTATTCAAAACCAACGACTAACTGTCAGGTAACTTTTGGGACACCCTGTATTTATATCATCATTTTAAAATATTAATATCAAATAAGTAAATTGATATAAGTGTATGTGTTTATTATCAAACGATGAATAAACTGATTGATTTTCTTAAATGTTGAAGTTTAGTTTCTAAAAACTTGAATCATTCATTGTTAGCTTCGAATAAGATGATTCAAACATAGAAATTCTTCTCTAATTATTTATGAAAGAGTCATCTCATTATCTTCACTGGTTTAATTGATAATACACAATAAAAATAGCTCGATATTAATAAATGTGCCTTTATTATCTAGATAATATTTATTTTTTTTTTCAAAAACTCAAAACAAAGAAAATAATTGAATAAACTAATTTAAATCTTTACGATTTTTTAAAAATCTTAATATGATTGAGTGGTGTCATAATTCCGTTACACAAGGTATCCACATTCCTACAACACGAAAACTAATAGGGTATTCAACTGAAGCATATTCACTTCTATCGAATGGCTACCAGTTCCAGGAGTAACTACTTCATCTCTTCCAGTGCTACCATACATGTTCGCACCACAAGAAAAATCGTTTTTCGTCGGGGTTTTACCCTAAGAGTAATGACACTATTCATCTACAAAAAAAAATAACTGCATATTCTAAAAGTTGAGCGATTTGAGTGTACTTGGTATATTACGCACAGTGTAATGACATATGTCATCGCAATGGATAACTATATATTGTAAAAGTTGCGGACTTTGAGTGAATTTAGTGTATTACTCCAAGTGTAATGACCTTGTTATACCAAATCCACTGAAATTTTTCAAGCTTAAAGAGGTATAGTTTGCGTATGGGTAATGAAGTCATTACTCCTCTTCGTAAGTTGTGTAATGTGAAACTGAATTCACTTGATTACTCTGTAGGGTATTCTGACGTTTAGCTCTCGATACTCAGTGTAATGGTATTATGACATCTATGTATGATTAGAATAGCTGAGTATGTTTGTTTCTAATCACATCATATTGAATTAATTCTTAAGAAATATCTTCAAGTAAAATAGTCGATATTTTTTTTTTCATTCATATAAAATATATGTTCGAGAAAAAAAGTTAGTTATTGACATTATCGGTTAATAAGCGAGTTAAAGATTGAAAGTAAATGGTACCTATTTACTATTTATCGTGTATGAATCATTTCGATCTATAACAATTATTTATGAATTTATATTTATACATTATTGAATATAATCATAATTAAGAGATTTATTGTCTTGAGATTATTTCGACAATCGATTAATATATTAAATAATATATTTATATATGAAAATTTGATTAGACTTCATTATGAAATCATCTTATCTTTCTTTTTGTTTTTTTTTATATAAAAAACAACAAAAGTAATATGTTTTGTTTTTGTCTACTTTTACATAGAATTATTATTAAAAAAACAAATGTTCAATAAATTGTTTTTGTGTACTCAAAAAGTGAGTACACTCTAGAATCGGTCAGTATGTCCATCCGGCCGTTTACACGATAACTTTTGAAAGGAGAGTCCGATTGCGATGAAATTTTCTACACAGCTTAGTCTCAACAATATCTCGGTCGAGTTCGAAGATGAGAAGGATTGGGCGAGCCGTTGCTGAGTTATTGAAAAAATAGTCATTTTTCCCTATGCCTTCCTATGCGAGAATCGACCTATCCCCGCTTTCGTAAAAAACTTTTCCTATTATAGTCAAATAAAACCCCAACTATTATACACCATTCGATAGAGAATTTCACGAGCTACAAAATGGTATATAAAACATAAAGAAATAAGAAGACTAACTCACCTATTGCAAGGGTAATTAAACGGGAATTGGTTCTGTTTGTGTTCACACTCTAATTGATCGACAATTAGAGCTCTGTCTTTCGATCATAGAGATGACAGTTCGAGGTTTTTTGGGTCGGAGAACTCCAATCTGAGCTCCGTTTGCCTCGAACTCCTATTGGTTGAGCAGTAACCAATAGAAATCAAGTTATCGGAAAAACGACTTTCCTAGGGTAAATTAAGGCGAAGAGTTCAAATATGAGCTCTATTCATCTCTGAATCCTAGTGGTTGAACAGTAGCCAATAGAAATCAAGCGTACTATAGAAAAGGTTTGCCAGGATAACTTTGATGTTCACACATTCTAGGATGACTCATCTATCCCATTCACTTTTTGAAGTACCCAGACTCTCGGATTTAAATCCGAGGTTTCTCCATTTATTATTCGTATTAATAGAAAATAAATCGATTATTTTTTTAATAACTCTATTATAAATAAGATAGTTCTCCACGAACGATAATATTTACAATGATAATAAAAAATCTCAATTATATTTAAATAGAATTGTGTGAAAGAGACAATAATTATATCAAAATTATATTTTATGAAATTCACAATTATCAATCAAAAACAAAACAAGTTAAGACAAAATAAAATATCTGACCAATAATTATTGATAAAATCTTTATATCGATTATACGAAAAACAACAAATATTTATTTCAATTAAATCGATATATTGAACTTTTCATTGTTAATGAAAGACACTACTTAAACTCACTATAATACATATATGGGGTTGTCTAGTCTGGCCGGGTGCCCCAACTTTTCTAATATTATGTAACTTCTATAATACATCTGAGAGTTATGATTTTTTTACCAGTTATAGTACTCGAATAATGCCGATGAATGGTCAAACCCAAAAGGTCTTTACCCTATATGGAATCAAAATATTCAAATGTCTTCAAAAAATATATTGCCATTTATGGACAGATACTTTGAAGACACTTGATTATCTTGATTTTAAATAGGGTAAAGACCTTGTGGGTTTGACCATTCATCAGCATTATTCGAGTACTATAACTGGTAAAAAAATCATAACTTTCTGACGTATTATAGAAGTTACATAATATTAGAAAAGTTGGGTCAATCGGCCAGACTGGACAACCCCATATATACTTATATTTTTCTAGTTCAAAATGAAGTTCAAAATAAAATGTAAGTATTATTTATATAAATCTTTCTTTTTCCATTTAGATCAATCGCAACAACAAAATCAAAAGTAAGTACTATATACTTAAATATTGTTCTTTCTGTTTTATTTAGTTCAATATGAAATTCAAAATAAAATGTAAATATTATTTACATTAATAACTATGTTTTTCTGTTTAAATCCATTACAACAAGAAATCAAAAGTAACTATTGTTTACTTATATATATATTTTTTTATTTAGGCTAATATGGAGTTCAAAATAATATGTAAGTATTATTTATATAAATCTTTTTTTTCATGGAGATCAAACACAGAGTGAATCAAAAGTAAGTATTATATACTTGTATATTGTTCTTTCTGCTTTATTTAGTTTAATATGAAGTTGAAAATAAAATGTAAGAATTATTTATATAAATCTTTTTTTGTTCTGTTGAGGTCCATTAGAACAAGCAAGTCCAAAGTAAGTATTTGTTCATATGTATATATATATTTTTCTTTATTTAGTGCAATATGAAGTTCACAATGATATGTAAGTATTATTTACATTAATAATTATCTTTTTCTGTTTAGATGGGTTTCAACAAGAAATCAAAAGTAAGTATTATGTACTTATACATATTCTTTTAATATTATTTAGTTTAACATGAGATTCAAAATAATATGTAAGTATTATTTTTAAAAAATCTTCTTTTTTATTTAGACCAACCGCAACAATGAAAGCAAAAGTAAGTATTATTTTCTTATATATGTTTCTTTTTTTTATTTAGGTTAGTATGAAGTTCAAAATAAAATGTAAGTATTATTTATATAAATAATTTTATTTTTTTATAAATAAATAAATAATTTTTACTCTTGGAGAATTTAACAATAAGTTCAATAATGTGTCGCTGCTGCGTGCGTAGAAAAAAAGAAATATGACTGACATATATATCTATATATGGGGGTGACAAATTTGACTGGTACCCCGTTTTGATACAGCCCTATTGTAAGGATAAAACCTACTATGGTCCGGGCCATATAAGAGATGATCCTACATAGCCCTAGATTGGCTCGAACAACACCATATTTTACCCTTACAATAGTAAAGAAAAGCTACCAGCTCACACGATGGGGGGGGGGGGGGCTAGTAGTTATTCTCTACTATTGTAAGGATAAAACATGGTGTTGTTCGGACCAATCTAGGATTATGTAGGATCATCTCTTATATGGTCCAGACAATAGCAGGTTTTATCCTTACAATAGGGCTGTATCAAAACGGGGTACCAGTCAAATTTGTCACCCCCATATATATATATGTATATATATCTAATGAATGGACATATACGACGTATATACATAACTAGCAGAAGTACCCGGCGTTGCCCGGGAAAGTTCAACCTTAATATATGCAAGCAAAACTCCTATTGCGCTCGAGAACATCTAAGAAAACCTAATTAGTGGAGAGTAGGCATGCATAAAATCCTATTTTTTGTCCCGGTCTTGGTTCTGGCTCTTGGACGTATTTTAAGTCCCGACCCCGGCTGCTTTCAGTCTCAGCGGATATGAAATAGTGACATTGAAAAATTGATTAGAGATGAAGGATTCTTCGTCCTTACACGTCTAGATCTAGCTTGATGGAACTTCTAAGTTCTATCGACTTTTTATCTTGGTCAAGCATTTATAAGAGCACATATTTGTCTCGATCATTCCCCGATCTCAACTGACCCCGGTCGCTTGGTCACGTTCCCGGTTCCGGAGCTACCTAGTTATGTTTCTAGTTGGGAGCCCATATGGACGATCGATTCTTCGATGGCGTTGCAAGAAAAATCCGCTTTGATCGAAATTAAACACAACGACACATCTAATTGATCTAGAATGTCGCGTTCACAATACCTATTGATCGGGAGAATTACGACGATATATTGTACTTTGTACTACGGGAATCACACTGAATTCCGATTGGTTGCAAAGAAAGACAGACAGAAATATTTTTGTGGGACAGACCCCTTAGCAACCTAAGGAGTCGATATATATGACGAACAAATTTTGCATCTCATAGACTATTTATTCGAAATCCCCGCCTCATACGACTTCCAGGAAACCAATTTCTCCAAAACTCGATTTGTGTGTGACATGAGTCAACCAGTAGAGCCACGGGTGCTCCAGTAGGGTATCGAGCTCAACAGACTTCCGATTCCTAATGTCCTTCCTCCGATCATCCAGTGATATTCATTTTCCAAAAACCTCGATTCCTATTGGTTTCGGACTAAGCAATAGGATTTCGAGGCGAATGGACTCCGGATGCGAACTCACCGCCTCTAAAAACCCCTGCCTGACTTTTTTCCCCGAAAACACAAGTTTGATTAGCTGGTTTCTTGGCAGTTGAATTGCTATTGGTTTTCTTCAACCAATCATATTTCAAAGCGATTGGACCCCAGATTCGAACTCAACGTCTTTAAAAACTCTACCTGACTTTTTCCCCCGAAAACGCAAGTTTGATTAGCTGGTTTCTTGGCAGCTGAATTCCTATTGGTTTCCGACCAACCAATTAGATTTCGAGGCAAATGGACCGCAGATTCGAGTTCAGCACCCTCGAAAACCCCTAGGTACATGCCTTGTGTGTGCTCACAACGTGCTACTCAGCTGTTCTTCGATACGACCGAATGCTGCAATCTGATTGGTCAGATACATAGGCGGGCCTTTTGCGGGTGGAGAACCCATGTTTTTTCGACAAAAAGTAGTCGTTGACCTTCTCCTGGGCCAAAGGGTATACCATGCAAAGTTTGGTCGCATTTGCCTGTACGGTGTAAATAAAGAACAGAAAAAACGGGAGAACCCCCTCACCCCCTGGGGAGGGGGCGACGACCCCGTCTTGACCTTCCCCTGGACGAAAGGGTATACCATGCAAATTTTGGTCGCATTTGCTCGTACGATGTAGAAATGCATGAAGAACAAACAAACACACAAACAAACTTTCTTCTTTATATATATAGATGAATACTCATAATGAATGAACAGATATGACGTACATAGATAATGAATGGGCATATCCGACGTACATACATATAATATAGATATGTATATCTTTTTCGTTCTCTGACTGATCATATGAAAGTTCCAGAAGAATAACTGAAAAAAGCTTGTCTATTATAATATAGATTTTGTCATATGATCAATAATATAAAATCGAATTAGTTATGGTCTAGAAACTTTACTAAGTAGATTATTGTTTGATGCAAGGTCAATTAATAATGGTATTCGATATTTTGTTATTTTGATAAAATCATTTGCAATACGAATTTTGATCATTATCACACTTTTTATTGAATGTAACTTATTTGACTACTAACTGATTTATTTTATTCAACTTCATGATAAATTCAAAAGAGAAAGACTTTTGCTAACAAATTATCATTCATCAAATGCATAATTTTCTTCAATTTAAATAGTGATGGTATCAACATGATATTGATACAAGACAACGAAATGGTGTTCAAGTATATGAACTATCTATATCCATGTTTAATAATAGAAGTCAACTACTAAATCACCTGTCTTCAGTTTTTCTCGTTTGACACGATTATGTTGAACATAAAGGGATAAATTACGAAACTCTTTATTATTCAGACCGAAGTGATAAGTACTATGGAATATCCAACAATAAAAATCAAAGAATTCTGATAAATATACGAATGTATTTTTCTAATGAAAGGTGTAGCAACTGAATTTATTTTTTCGTCGAGATAAAATACGTATCTCAGAATATATTGAATTTTGTGCATTCTGTCATATCTTTCTTATTTGTTTTCTTTTACAACTAGCTTTTTTTAATATATCCATCCAATCAATATCTTTTTGATCTACAATACTTAATAAAATGTGCTGAGCTTCTTGAGTAAATATCTTATTTTTTATTGTGGAATAAATAAATCTTAAAGTACGTCATATTCTCATAATTGAAATAGTTGTCACTATTTTCTGACAGTTGACTGCGATTGCTCATTTGAAAGATTATCATGATCATCCTCAACGCGATTTTCATTTTCATTATCGACAACACTCCATTGTATAATGCTTATAATATGTGGAATCTTTCGCAACTCATAATGGTTGCCGATTGTATTAAATAATCTTAAAAGAAGAACTTGTCCTTGTAAAATAAGGTCCTGTACTTCGGTTAGTGATATAAAGGCCGAATGATTCAACTGTTTAAAATCAAATGCAAGAATACTTTCGATAGCGTCCACAGAATCTGTATAGGCGAAACTTTCATAACCGTCTCGTCCACTAGTCCAATTAAACATTCCACCACGTAAACGAAGCACCAAATGAAGCACATATTCCTTTTGTATCTTATAGTCTGAAAGGATTCTGTCGTCCTCTAGTTGCTTTTTAGCAAATATTAGACGTTGTTGATCTGATGGAGTACCTTCTTTGTCTTGTATTAATTGTTTCACAGTATTTATATTCATGTTGGAAGACACTTCTAATGTAATTGTCTTTCCGGTAAGAGTTTTCACAAATATTGGAAACGAAGAAATGGATTGTGCATCATCAGTCTATGAAAAAGAGAATTATGTGATCACAGAGTAGAAACGAAGTTATAATTTACTTTTTCTGCAAGAATTTTCGCTATGATAATACGTTGATCTTCATATAAGTTAGATGATAAGACGGTATCATCTGCTTTGAGTACAATACCATCATTCCAATTTAGGTTTTTTACTTGAAAATCTCGATCTAATATAAATGATTTTAGTTGAATGTTTGATCGTGTGAAAAGTTTCTGTATTTGCATTCGAATCTTTTCTTCAGTATCTGTTGGAAGAACATGCAACACAATTTGTCGACGTGGTATAAGTTCATGATATTCTATGAAAATATTCAAATCACCGTATGTAACGAATTGATAACGGTCTGAATATTGGGATATCGATGTTGTCAATGTACTATAACTTGATGGTTTGATAATGTCTTCAGACATTGTTCCAAATTTAATCCACTTTTGTAAATATTTTGGAACATAATCCTTCTTATATTTCTTAAATACTATGCCGAGTATTTCATGATCCATATATTCATTAGTTAGCCGATTTCCATATGGATCGATAAATGTTATTGAACGTGATTTTAGATGCTTTCGTGTCTTTTTATTGTTCCATTTGATTTCAAGATATTTTGAAGTTTCAATTATTTGACGTTGCATTGCTTGAACATGAGCGATGAAATCTTGATTTACGTAACATTTTGATTCTCTTGATAAAGAAGCTGTCGATGCTGCCGCTGAATTACTCATCTATAAACTAATACGAACCTAAAACTAAAAGAAATGTTTATAAAGTAAACAAATTCAAATGATGACAGCTTTGTAGAAATTATAATTAGTAGGTTGTGTGGCTAAATAAACAGATATGAATGTGGATTTTCTCTTGCATAATAGTCACAGCCACTTACCTTTCATTCGTAAATGTTGGATTTCCTAAACAAAACAATTTTAAATGTATTTTGCATTCTAATTAATAATGGAAAGGAAATTATAAGGTTGGCATGTTGAGTGCGTAGTAAAACATTCCGATGAATATGAAGGAGATTTATTTTGACTTAAGGTTATGGAATATATTCACCTGTTTTCGAAAACAAACTGTCACAGTTTTAAAAATAGTTTCTTAATTATATTGAGCGTCTTTATAGATTTGATGATTTTATACAGATAGTATAAAAAACAATGCTTATAAAAGATGTATATGAAATTAAAATCGGTTCGAATCAACCATTACCTACAACATCTTAATATTGTTGACTAATAAAAAAAGATGTAGTAGAATTAGTATAGATCTAAAATAGAATGAATTCTCAGTGATCACAACGAAATTAAGGTCAATAAATGGGTGGCTAAAAATTCTCGTAAAAAAGGAAAATAAATTTGATAGAATCCATGCATTATTCTTCAGCTGTTTGTCTCGTTGATGTGTTTTGTATGACAGCAATACGTATTTACAATGACGCACACATCTACAGCATTATTGCGCAGAAAGAAACTAAATAAAATGAAATATGCTTCAACAGTAAATATTTTTTTAAAGATGATTCATACGTTGGAAAAAAGAAACAACACACGTGGCTTTTTCGTACAACTAAAAAAAGTAAGCTTTAGAATTGTTGATTTGGATGTGGGTGTGGATGAGTACGTGAGTTGAAGTATAAGTGGGTGTGTGGGTGGGGTGGGGTGGGTGTGGGTATGGGTGGGTGCGGGTGGATGTGGGTGTGGGTGTGGGTGTGGGTGTGGGTGTGGGTGTGGGTGTGGGTGTGAATATTTTCTTTAACAAGGACCCACACCCACACCCTTCGATTCGACCCTATCTCATGGAAAGACATGAATATTAATGACAAAACCCTTGATTTTTTTTTAAAAGATACGTCGTGAAAAGCTCTACAAAAACGATAATAACAAATCTCTAATAGAATGTTCTGATGATTTTTTTTTTCTATTCTCAAAATGAAACACCTATATTTTATGCTATTTCCCACCACATTAACGAGTGAGGCAGAATAAATGGGCACGCTTAGTATTTCAAATTTCAATCACTTAACGGTGTGGGTATGGGTGTGAGTGTGGGCGTGGATGTGGGTGTGGGTGCGATTGTATATGAAGAAAATCATACTAACACCCACACCTACACCCACACCAACCCACACCCACACCCCACACCCACATCCACACCCACACACCCATACCCATACCCACACCCACACTCACACCCACACCCTCCCACACCCACACCCACTTTCAACGCATCAAAAAGAGACTAGCATCAACAATGACGCATCCTATAACCAGTAACCTAACACTTGTTAAGAATTTCCTCAAAGTGGACGAACTTGTAAGTTAAGAATCAATCTGAAGCTTTGAATGCTTGTTTTATACTAAGCTTACTAGCCTTCACTGGATTCTAACATCAACCGTTAACAGCAACTCATTTAATTTACATAATGGTCAACAGAAAATCGTCATACTTGAAGTCAAAAACAAACACACGATTTCCCGATCCATTCAAACAATAATTCCAATAACTGAACTAAAATATACATTTGTCACAGCTACCCTTTCAACCACATGTGCTCTCTTTTATTACATATCTCCATAAGAACGGAACCTACCAAAAACAGTCGAATGGAACATCATCAATCTCTTTTGAACCATGCATTAACTAACAAAATGGGAAAGTACCAGAACACGTTGCTGTTGACTCAAGCTA